GATTCTAGGGATATATTTTTTTTTTTTTAAAGAAAAGAAGAAAGGCCGAGAGAGGAGGAGACTAGCTCTATTGTCTTGCTTTGTTTCATCGTCCTCTTAAAAGAGAAAGGAAGCTAGGGTTTTTGTTGGGTTTGGGCTGAATTTGGGTTTAGTATTTTTGGGCTGAATTTGGGTTTAGTATTTTTGGGCTGATTTTTTATGGAGTTGGGCCATTATGGATTTGAAGTGTAAATGGGCTGAACTTCAAGGCCTTTTATGATTTTTTCACTTAACACCTAAAACAAAAATAAAGATAAATTAGTTAAAGAAAACAGAAAAATTCATATTTTTATATTTTGTGTTTGTTTTGACATTTTATAAATTTTTTTTATGATGTTTGATTAATTTCGTGATTTATATATATATATATATATTTTTTTTTTTTAATGAAAAATCCAAGTAAATTTAAATGAAAGATCGAGTCCGGGAACATAAAAAATAAGGCTAATTAAAATATATTTTCTTTATGATAAAAATTTGAGTTATGATACCTATATTTTGAGAAAAAAGAGTACACTTAGAGACGTGGATTAGAAATTTGATTGTTTATCTCATAGTAAGTAGGATCTATGCCCAACTTCATGCATCTTTTTATTCGCCACTTGAAAATATTAAATACTCTTATATTATTATCTTACTAACTTTATCAAAATAAAGATATATATATATATAATTCTTGTTAAGATCACACTTGTAATATTCATAAAGCCTTCCCTAATGCTTTTCTTCTTCAATTTTTCTTTTGTTTTTTCCCATAATGTTTTGTCGCTAAGAAAATGGAAGATCTACTTTTCTATTATAATGTGGACTTAAACGCAAGACTTGTATCCAACCTAAAACCAATTGGTAATAGGTGAAGTAACCATCTTTATATTTAACCCACAAGCTTTCTTGTTATATCAAGGATGTGGGATTTTCCCACTCAACACCCCCCGCACATGCAAGCCCAATATGAACATCGAGTCTTGTTACATGACTTAATATGCCCCATTAAATGCAGGCCCGACATAAACTTGGGGTCCTGTTTGGTGGGTTAAGAACGAGCTTTTTGGAAATGAAGGCTTGGCTCTAATACCATATGAAAATTCTACATGTGAATTTCAACACAAGACTTGTATCCAAGCTAAAACTAAGTGGCAATAGGTGGAGTAGTCTTCTTTATATTTAATCCATACATCCCTCGTGTAAGCCTAGTATAAATGTTGAGTCTTATCATGTGACTTAATGGGTCTTGTTTAGTGGGTTAAAAATAGGCCTTTTAGGAATGGAGTCTAGGCTCTGATATCATGTGAAAATTATGCATGTGAACTCAACATAAGGTTTGCATCCAAGTTAAAAACAATTGACCATAAATGGAGTAGCCTTATATTTAACTCACAAGCTTCCTTATTATATTATCAATGTGGGATTTTCTTACTCAACACACCCTTTCACATGCAAGTCCAATATGAATGTCAGGTCATCATGTAGCTTAATAGGTTCTATTTGGTGGATTAATAATGGGCTTTCCAGGAATGAAGCCTGGCTCTAATACCATGTAAAATTGTGCATATGGACTCAAAACAAACTTGCATCTAAGTTAAAACCAACTGAAAATAGGTGGAGTAGCCTTATATTTAACCCACAACCTTCTTTGTTATATCATTAACATGCCTCTTCACATGCAAGTCCAATATGAACGTTAGGTTTTATCACGTGGCTTAATGGGTCTTGTTTGGTGGGTTAAAAACGGGCTTTTCAAAAATGAAGCCTGGCCTTTACTACTCATATGCCTTAAAACCAAATGAAATATAATTATGAACATGCAATGGCACAGATCAAGTTATCTTGTCAAATGAAATATGCCTTAAAAGTTCTACACATAACAAACACTGAGTGGCCAACGAAGGTGATTTATCCTTTCTTTAAGAAAACTATGTCTCAATGGCTTAATGATGTGAACACGCCTAACTACCAGTTACCTGAGAACACAAGGTATGGTGAATGGATGACCAAAGTAATGCCAAAGATTCAGTATGCCTTTATATTTATCTCTCTTGGTTTTTTTTATTGGTTTTTTTTTGTTTGACTTATTTTGTATATCCAGGAAACTTTGGAAATTACTACATGAAATGAAGGAACAAAATATACAGATTTGTAAAAAAAGAAATCATCAACAAAACAATACTAACCCAGGACATTATACGCCTTTAATTGGGAAAAAGTCTAAGCTTTTAAACTTAAGAGATAGTAAGTTTGTTTCAGAAAAAGTTATGCCTCCGTCTAAGCTTTTAAAGTTAAAGTTACAAGGAGGTAAGTTGTTTTTGCTTTTTTTTTAGTATTTTTTATATTTTAAATTATACAATTATTAATTCTTTTGCAACCAACGATCATGACAAGAATTATGCAAAAAAAATCTTTGATGAAGTACGAAATAGGGATAAAGGCAGTGATTTGCTTGAAAAGTTTAAATTTGCATTGGAAGTATAGGATGCTGAAATCGAAGGGGACAAAATCACTTTGTAATTGCAAATTTATTAATTTCTTTTTTAATTGAGATTTTATATTTGATTCTCTAAATAATTACTATTTATCTCTCTTTTTCAAGTTTAATTATTGGTTATGCTAGGAACATCCAATTCTCTGACAAAAAAAACTTTTTGTTATTGATCTACGATATCATCTTTCACTATGGATTAAAGGGTTGGGCAAATGGAGTAGAAGTTTTTAATTTGATGCAATTCTGAGGTGAAATTAACAGAGCAAAAGAACAAAACAAAAATGCTTATCAACAAATCCCTTAGTTTAGAGCTAGGCAAAGTTGTGGGTCAGCTTCAAAAAAGGGAAATCTTGAGGAACCTCTTTCTTATTATGCAGGTTCAGATATTGTAAGATTTACAAGGAATGCCTTCATGCATTTTGAAGAAAATTATAAAAGAGGCAACGTAAGTTATAATCCTTTTTATTTTATTTTTTATGAGAGGTAATTACGTTGTATATAATTAGAGAGTTTCTTGTAATTATATATACTATATCTTACCAAGAAGATTTTAGTTAGGTTAGTACTCACTAAAATATTAATTTGAGATTAAGGTGGGAGACTCAAATCTTTGTTTAACAAAGTAGTTACCACTCATATACACAAAAATAAAAATGTATTCTTTTGCGTTAATTAAAAAGTCTTAATAAGCATAAAATTGCACAATTGAAGTTAATGATAATTTGGCAAATAAATTAAACCGTCTCTTTTTTAGATAATGTGACTAAGTAATTACATTGGTTTAGGTAAAGGTTTTTCTTTTTTTCTTTTTTTTTGTATTATAACTATATTCCTCATTATACTTTTTTAGAATATTTTTCTATAGAATAACACTACCTGGTATCGTTGTCTGGATGATCATGAGCATGAGATTGTGGAGATACTAGATGATGAACTTAATGTCTACTTTTTACATTATGCAATTGCAAGTGGCAATTATTGCAGCAGATCCACCTGAGAAATATATGTAAATGCTAGTAAAAAATTGCATGTACGATTTTGATTTTATGATATTTTTTCTAATATGTTAAGAAGAGGTGTGTTAAGAATAGGCTTTTTAGAAACGAAGTCTGGATTCTAATATCATGTGAAAATTATGCATGTGGGCTCAACACAAACTTTACATCCAAGTTAAAAGCAATTGACAATAAATGGAATAACCATATATTTAACCCACAAGCTTCCTTATTATATCATCAATGTGGGATTTCCTACTCAACACACCACTTCACGTGCAAGTCCAATATGAATGTTGGGTCATCATGTATCTTAATGGGTTCTGTTTGGTGGGTTAATAAGGACTTTCCAGGAATGAAGCCTGGGCTTTAATACCATGTAAAAATTGTGCATATGAACTTGAAACAAACTTGCATCTAAGTTAAAAACAATTGAAAATAGGTGGCGTAGCCTTATATTTAACCCACAAGTTTCTTTCTTATATCATTAACACGCTTCTTCACATTCAAGCCCAATATGAACATTGGGTTTTATCATGTGGCTTAATGGGTCTTGTTTGGTGGGCTAATAATGGGCTTTCCAAAAATGAAGCATGGGCTTTGATCCAATCTAAAACCAATTGGCAATAAATAGAGTAGCCTTCCTTGTTATATCATCAGTGTGGGATTTTCTCACTCAACACGCCTCCCCATGTGTAAGCCCGGTATGAATGTTAGGTCTTGTCATGTAGCTTCATACATCCCGTTAAATGCAAGCCCGACTTGAACTTCAAGTCTTGTTAGGTGGGCAAAGAATGGGCTTTTTAGAAATGAAGCATGGGTTTTGATACCATGATAGTGGGTTTACACGTGAGAATGTATATTTAAGTGGGAAATCCTACGTCAAATATATAACAAAGAAGTATGTATGTTAAATATAAGGAGGATTATTCCACCTATAATCAATTGATTTTAGGTTGAATGCAAACTTTGTATTGAGCTCACATGTATAATTTTCACATGGTATCAAAACCCAGGTTTCATTCTTGCAAAACCCAGGTTTCATTCTTGAAAAACCCATTCTTAACCCATCAAATAAGACTTGAAATTCATACCAAGTATGCATTTAAAGGGGCATATTATGCCAGATGACAAGACTTGACCTTCATTCTGTGATTTTGAATTGATAATATATGTTCTATTCTTTAAATAATTGTTATTTATTTCTCTTTTTCAGATCAAATTATTGGTTATATTATAAACATCTAGTTTTCTATGATCTTGCTTACAAAAAAAGGTTTTTGTTATTGATCAACGATATCGTCTTTCACTTTGGATTAAAAGGTTGGCTGAGTAAAGAAAAAAAAAAGATTTTAATTATATGCACTTCCAAGGTCAAATTAGCACAACACCAAACAAAGATGTTTATCAACAAATCCTTCACTACAAAACTAGACAGAGTAATGGCGTTGGTTTCAACAAAAAGAACGCATGAGGAATCTCTTCATTATTTAGTAGGTTCAAATATTCTAAGATTTACAAAGAATGCCATGATGCATTTTGAAAAAAATTATAAAAAAGTTAACGTAAGTTGTTGTAATTTTTATTTTATTTTTTAAGGAAGGTAATTGTCTATAATTAGAGAGTTTCTTGTAATTATATATATATATATTGTCTCACTAATAAAAGTTTAATTAAATTAGTACTCATCAACTTAAAAATATGAATTTCAAATTAAGATCAAAGACTTGAACTTTTTCTTATCAAAGTGGTTACTACTTATATGCCTTAAAACCAAATGAAATATAATTATGAACATGCAATGACACAAATCAAGTTATCCTGTCAAATAAAATATGCCTTAAAAGTTCTACACATAACAAACATTGAGTGGCCAACAAAGTTGATTTATCCTTTCTTTAAGAAAACTATGTCTCAATGGCTTAATGATGTGAACACACTGAACTACTAGTTACCTGAGAACACGGGGTATGGTGAATGGATAAAGACTAAAGTAATGCCAAAGATTCAATCTTGACCCAAGACATTATATGCCTTTAATTGGGAAAGAGTCTAAGTTTTTAAACTTAAGAGGTAGTAAGTTTGTTTCAGGAGAAGTTATGTTTTTGCCTAAGCTTTTAAAGTTAAAGTTACATGGAAGTTGTTTTCACCTTTTTTTTTTTAGTATTTTTTAAATTTTAAATTATACAATTATTGATTCTTTTGCAGTCAACGATCATGACAAGAATTATGCCAAAAAAAGTCTGATGAAGTACGAAATAAGGATAAAGCCAGTGATTTGCCCGAAAAGTTTAAATTTGCATCGGAAGTTTGGGATGCTGAAATCGAAGTGGACAAAATCACTTCGTAATTGAAAATTTATTAATTTCTTTTTTAATTGAGATTTTATGTTTGATTCTCTAAATAATTACTATTTATCTCTCTTTTTCAAGTTTAATTATTGGTTATGTTGTAAACATCCAATTCTCTAACAAAAAAAACTTTTTGTTATTGATCTACAATATCATCTTTCGCTATGGATTAAAGGGCTGGTTGAATGGAGCATAAATTTTTACTTGGATGCAATTCCAAGGTGAAATTAATAGAGCAAAAGAACAAAACAAAAATGCTTATTAACAAATCCTTCAATTTAGATTTTAGAGCCAGACAAAGTTGTGGGTCAACTTCAAAAAAGAGAAATCTTGAGGAACCTCTTTCTTATTATGCAAGTTCAGCTATTGTAAGATTTACAAGGAATGCCTTCATGCATTTTGAAGAAAATTATAAAAGAGGTAACTTAAGTTGTAGTCCTTTTATTTTATTTTTTATGGGAGGTAATTAAGTTGTGTATAATTAGAGGATTTCTTGTAATTATATATACTTTATCTTGCCAATAGGATTTTAGTTAGGTTAGTACTCATTAAGATATTAATTTGATATTAAGGTGGGAGACTCAAATTGTTTAACAAAGTAGTTACCACTCATATGTACAAACAAAAAAAAAATTGTATTCTTTTGCATTAATTAAAAAGTCTTAATAAGCATAAAATTGCACAATTGAAGTTAATGATAATTTGGAAAATAAATTAAACCACCTCTTTTTTAGATACTATAACTAAGTAATGAAATTGGTTCAAGTAAAGGGTTTTTTTTTTTTTTTTTGCATTATAACTATATTCCTCATTATAATTCTTTATAATATTTTTCTATAGAATAACACTACCTAGCATCATTGTCTGGATGATCATGAGCGTGAGATTGTGGAGATACTAGATGATGAAATTAATGTTTGCTCTATACATTATGCAATTGCAAGGGCAATTATTGGAAAAGATCCACCTGAGAAATATATGTAAATGCTAGTAAAAAATTGCATGTACGATTTTTATTTTATGATGTTTTTTCTTATATGTTAATTAGTTCATATCTTTTTCTTGCAAGGAAGAGGGTTGGAAGAAGTATCAAGTAGAAGAACGGAGAAAATTACAGTAAATGCTACTCCCTTCATGCTAAAATAACCTTCTTCTTTTTTTTGTTTCAGATTAAATGTTTATAAATAATTTATAGGCAGAAGGTGCAATTCAGCTTCAGTACCTGCAATGTTGTGGGAGATTAGCCCCTGTATAAGAAATTATGGCAAATCAACCCTTCTATTTCATGATATTTACAAAATAGCCTTTTTAGTGAGAATGACGTCATCCAACCGTTAGACCCATCCATTGCCCGTTAAAGTTTGATGAGTTGGCACTTACTGGGAGCTGATTGGGGCATTGATGTGGACAATTTACTCCACTTGGGTTAGTTGAGATGGCAAGGTAATGTTTTGACTAAACTACCCTTACCATAATAAATAAAATTGGGGATCTAGAGTTTCAATCTCGACTCTTGATTACAACTTTCCCTTTGTTTTGATTTGCTTCTGCTCATTACAATTCCTTTTGGCCTTACTTGATTTCTTTCCCTCTGTTTTGGTTAAAGTTTAGGGTGATTTGGGCCATAGAGATGTCATCTTCGAGCTCATTCCACTCTATTTCTTGACCATCATCAATTGAAGAATGGGGAAGCATAGAGATCGCATATGAAGGAAAGTAGAGATATTGCAATTATGGTCTAAAATGTCCTTGTTGGAATGCTTGGATTGAGGGACTTACATTTTCAATGTTGATTTTATATACAACTAGCTTTCTTCTCTCTTGGAAGCTTGTTCTGTAGGCAACCAAGATATGCCCGACGGCCAAGGCAAGGGAACAAACGAATATGGCAATTTCCACGGCTCTAACAAACCCTCCTCGATAAACATATAAGAATATAAAAATTAATATTAATTTCACCACTAATGTACTCTGAGTTCTTATGCTATAATTGAATGTTGTGCAACTAAATTTTATCTTTTTTATTATCTCTGGAAGCAAATTAAAGCTTTTAAAATATGAAAGGGACTCTACACAATGTTTTGCACATTGTGTCATGTTATCCCTTGAAGATTGGTCTCAGCATTTATAAGCATAGTATTCCTTGCTAGTCCTTATCAGCATTTATAATCATGGTATTGCTTGTTGTTCCGGAACCATTTTCTGATTTTTATCTTGCATGCATAATTGGTGTAGAGAATATAATTGGACTTGGACGTGGATTGTCTGTGCAAAATGGTAGTGTTCCCCTAGTGCTTTGCATGAAATTGATGTGTCTGATGTTATTAATGTTGGTTATTATTAACGCTGACATTGATGGATTGTTAATGTTGTTATTATTGGCCAACATCTCATGCACGAACTTGGAAGATGTTTATTTGTTTAAACATTTGTGAAATGTTTATGTATGTTTGCCTTGTTTATTTTTATTTTTCAAGGTTAATCTTGTAATTGCACACTACAAGGTCCTTATCCCCACTTGCATGGTAATGAATTTAAGGTCCATTTGGTTAGAGAAGCCCAACTTTATTAAACCCAACCAAGATATGCTTGACAACCAAGGCAAGGGAACAGACAAACAGGGCAATCTCCACGGCTCTAACAAACCCTCCTCGATAAACATATAAAAATATATAAATTAATATTAATTTCACCACTAATGTACTCTAAGTTCTTGTGCTGTAATTGAACGTTGTGTAACTAAATTTTATCTTTTTTATTATCTCTGGAAGCAAATTAAAGCTTCTAAAATAGGAAAGGGAGTTCACACAATGTTTTGCACATTGTGTCATGTATATGTTATCCTTTAAAGATTGGTCTTAGCATTTATAAGCATAGTATTCCTTAGTGTTCCCTATCAACATTTATAAGTATGGTATTGCTTGTTGTTCCCTAACTATTTTCTGATTTCTATCTTGCATGTATAGTTGGTGTAGAGAATATGATTGGAGTTGGACGTGGATTGTCTGTGCAAAATGGTACCATTCTAGTGTTCCCCTAGTGCTTTACATGAAATTGATGTGTCTGATGTTATTAATATTGGTTATTGTTAATGTTGACATTGATGGATTGTTAATATTATTATTTGCCAACATCCCGTGCATGGACTTGGAAGATGTTTATTTGTTTAAACATTTGTGAAATGTTTATGTATGTTTGCCTTGTTTATTTTTATTTTTCAAGCTTAATCTTGTAACTGCACACTACAATGTCCTTATCCCACTTGCATGGTAATGGATTTTTTTTTTTTGAACAATGTATAATTATTTATAGGGTTAATTGGGGGAGGGGGAAAGGAATTCCGTGGGACTCGAACGTGCAACCCACTGGAGGTGAACAGCCCTAACTCAGGGTCCAATGCCACTGGGTCGGAATGGGTCGTTCGCATGGTAATGGATTTAAGGTCCGTTTGATTAGAGAAACTCAACTTTATTAAGAAGGTTTTACTAAAAAAATTATTTAAAAAATATTGTATGAAAATTTATAAGTTTTATATGTAAATTTTATTAGATTTTTTATATTTAGTAAAAAATTGATATAGTAAAAATTAATAAGAAAATTGTCAAG